CCTGATTAATTTGTGGTGAGACCAGTTTGCAACATTGCATACTAATTTTATATTATAATCACAGCCCCGCCTGTAACCACGATATTTACAATGCCATAATATAATCCACTAAAACTCGTGCACACATCTTTTCAGCTATATTTTTACACTTAAAAATTAAGATTAAATCAATTTAAATTAAAATTTTGAGACAAAGAAGATTTTTATAAATTGCTTTTTTAAAGAGTTTTTGCCCTTAGCGCGCTTTTCAGCATGCCCCTTCCCCTTGCGCCAACTTGCATGCTCTTTTTATTATTAAATAATGCAGTTTTGCAACCAGAATTATATTGAATCTCGGTTTTCAAGCAAACAGACACATCAAAGGTTGTCCGATCGTTTACCTTTATTGGCACAAGCTTCGGAGCAGAGATATAATAACTCACACACAGATGGCGAATTCATTTGCCTCTCGTCCGATTCACGGGCTGTTGATCCAAGCTACTCGACAGATCATAAAGTAATAGAAGATTGTAAAGATTCTAACGACATTTCTGATTATGAGGATGGTGAAAACGATGATAGCGGTGGCAATACTGATTATTTCGACGAGACTGAAGAATCAGAAGCTACTTCAGATCGTCTCACCGTTAGAAACTCTGTTTTTTTCGATGATACGCAGCATTCTGATACATTTTCTGAGTATGTTGTCAACGAAAGGTATAATTTCTCGCAAAATTCCCCAGACAACGAATCCACTCTACCCACTGTCCCCGAGAGTAGTGCTTGCTTTGGCGGGCCCAATTTCACCGAGAACTGCTCTCTTGAAAGGGCCTGTGAGCAAACGAAAGCACTTACTGGTTGTGTATCTGTTCAAAATTGTCTAAGCGAACTACATTGTTATAATCCACTGGTCAATTATGATAACTTGAACAACTTTGCTGATTATTCTGTAGTCGATTTAACTCACTGTCCCCCAAAGCCAAAGGCGCATTTTGAAGTTCCCCTTGGGTGTGATGTTTCAACACAAGATATTTCACAGCCTGTTGCCGATATAGTTTCTCACGAATCTACCCAAATTCAACTCTTAGAGAACTCCGCGTCAACTACTTTAAAAAGTTTTGAACAATTAGCTCCTGGTGAAGTCACTTATCAGCAACTTTCCAATGGAGGCAC